CTAAAAGCGGCCAAATATATAAAATCAACCAATGCTTAAATAAGGAGAGAGATAATTCATAGGAGGATTTTATCATAGGTTACAATTCAAATAAAGAAGGAATTATATGCCAACTTGATGGTAAACTAAAGTTATTGTTGGGAGAGCTCAAGATGGAAGGAAAATCAAATCAAATATTATTATTCACATTAAATCACACGCATGAGACAAGGGATTGAAGATATTCTAGAGCAATTATGATTGACTTGAAAGCCAATTGACGACCGACCAAATTGAGACACACCAAAGCCCCTATAAATACCATGCTTATGGAAGAGAGTGTGGAGGCCCAAAAAATCCAAGGTTCGGCCCAAATAAATTCTCGGCCCAATACGATACCTTATCAAGAAGAAACCCAATTTGGGCATATACGCTTTGCACACATGCCACGCCAAGCAAATAAGCATCATGCCACTGTTGGTTCGTCGCAAATCTCGCGGCCTGGTGCTCCGGGCCGAGGGGATGTGCGTCAACACGTGACGTCCTTCTTTTGGATGCGGTGCGGTTGTGTGTGGGCGTGCCAGCACGGTCTACCGTGCGTTGAGATGGTGATGGGGTTTGGGTAGAAGATGTTCAAATGATGCGCCTGTTTGGAGTTGGACTTCTAGTCAAACGATTGTGGCCGAGAGAGGAACTTATCTCGGCCGTCAGGTTCACGGCCTGAGCTACAAGGCCGTTTAGTGGTGATGTTGGTGGATTTTGGGCGATGCTCCGGTGCGTTACTCAGAGAGCGACGGTCGTATGATATATGGGGTGAATGAGGCGGTAGCAAGGATGATGCTCCGGCGCCTAGAAAAATCAAGGGTCGTGTGATATATTGATGAATGGATTTTCCTTACAATCTACCACTACTCCTAGGAAAGCATGTAAAGGTATTGAAAGTGCATTACAGAAAATATAAGTTGCACCGTGGGAGGCTTTTGGTTTGGTGTTTGGTTTGGTGTTTGAACCTCTTGAACGTGGTCCTGAGCTTAGTATTTATAGGAGGAGTCCTGGAGGGCCAATCGAGGCTGAAAAAAGATCTGCCTGATATGGCTTAAAAATATCTGCATGGTGGAGTCTGATCGAGGCAAGTGAGTCGTCACATCGGCATTTGGGATCGTGAAGCATGGTGGTCTGGGTTGAGGAGCATGGTGGTGTGACCCCCATAAATCTCGGCAAATCTCGGCCACAGCCCTGATCGTGGGCTCTGCCCCCTTGGCCGTGGGAACGCATTTAATGCTCTGGTCCAGTGGTTGGTGACCTGACCTCAAGCTGTGAGGATGCTTTGTGAGAATGTTTACGCCTAACCACTCTGATTCCTATTACCAAATCCTGACTTCAATCACTTCCCTTCTGCCCTCGTGCATTAAATGCTTTTTGCACCTAGTGGTTTTGTTGTGGCGGTCAGAGGCACTACTTCATTAAATGGGGCGTGGGACCTTGAGGCCACGTGGCGATTTGACCACAGTATCTTCGGCCGGGTCTTTCATGGACCTCGGTCTCGGCCCATAATGTCGTGGTTGTGAGGCCGAGAAAATCCTGCCTTCGTATTTTCTTCTGCTTTCGAAAAGGCTAAATGTCTGACGAAACGTGGCCGTTTCAATCCATGAACAGGTGCCACGGCCGAGAAGAGGTCCCTTCTGACGGCCGTGATTTATTAGGCACAAACAGCCACGCTACAAGCTTAAGTGGGCCCAAGCCACGCAAGATGCCCGGGGCTTGCTTGAGTGGGTTGTGGTATGGATGGTAATAAATTTTCATGAGGCCCATTGATGGGCCGAGAAATGGAAGTCCTGGGTTGCTTGGGAGTCTCGAGACTCAAGTCCATTTCATAGGCCCAAACATGTGGGTAAGCACAAGAGAGAAAAGAATAGCCCATCACTCCAAAGAAAAATAGCCTAACCAAAATAGCCTATTTACTCAACCAAAAAGCCCAAACATTTGATAAAGAAAGCCCACTTACTCAATAAATCAACTTGGCCCATACAATTACAATAGAAGAGTTGCAAAGCTCCAGCACTTGGCTGAAGAATAAAGCCACAAAGGAAAGTCTGAAAAGCTACTGAGAAGCTCCAGCACATGGGAGGAGCAAGTTTCAAGCAAAAACTTCCAAATGACCAAGGGATATTGGAGCGCACATCACCCTTTGAACCAGCATGCATACCTATTTCTTTCCCTCATCAGACCTAGCCTTGGAAGAAGGGAGAAAAGAAGGGAGAAAGATAGCTGAAAATAGGAGTTTGAAATAGCCGCGGGAAAGGGGGCCTTGAGCCCCCACAAATCCCTGATTTTGTGCAAATGGTTAGAGTGGATTTCACCAAAAAAGGATGATTGAAGAGATGAGGGGAGAAATGAAGGGAAAGACTTGGCCAAATTGGATAGAAACCATTAGGGTTTCTTGGAAAATGTCAGCTTCCAGGGGCTATAAAAGGGGGCCTCTTCTACCCAACAAGCATCAACCACATCAGAGAGCAAGCTTCCTCTCTTACTACCAAAACCCAGCAATTTCGTGCTCAGCTCATCCTTTTCCCTTAGTTTTCCTTCTTGGCAAGCTGTTCTAACACTTGACAGAGTCTCTGTCAAGCTGCCGGAAAAACACTCAAACCATCTTTTTCTCTCTTTTTCCTTATGCTCAACCAAACCTCTCTGCAAAATCCTTTCTATCCAACCTTAATACCGCATCTTTCCCCTAGGAACACTTAGTTTTCTCTTTAGTGTTAAACTCATGACAATTTTGCTCTCATGGCACAAGCTTCTCATGCCAAGCCAAGAATTTATCTGTAAGTTGCTGTTGTTTTGGTTGGTGAAGATAACCAAGATGCTTCCTAAGGATCTACTGCCCTTTCGAAGCATTTTGGGGCTTGATTTTCGAACTCAGACAAATGGGACAATTTCATCAATTTGCCCTTTACGGCAGCCCAGCCCATTTACAGCTACCGGAAGAAAAAAGCCCCTATAGAGAGAAAGGCCCGACACAACACACAACTTGTCATTTTACATTTTCTTCAATTTCTATCATAGGAGTAGCATAATGTAGCCATAGCCTAGTTCTTATTTTTCCCGTTCTAGTTTCCATAGATTTCAATTATGCCTTTACATTCTTGTTCTTCTTTTTCAATTCTATTTTAATTACAATAACTTCAATTCATGTTTATTTATTGTTCTTCGTAATCTAGTTTACTTTCCGCCCTTTACTTTACGCACTCGCATTTCAATTATTTAATTTACACAATTTACAATACGCACTCGTCTTTAAATTCTTTATTTCATGCACTTTAAATTACGCACTTGTCTTTACATTCTTTATTTTACGTACTCGTCTTTAAATATTTATTCTACGCACTTTACTTTCCGCACTTGTCTTTCAATTATATTTAAATTCAAGCACCTTTTACTTTATGCACGTGTTTGTTCACCCGTTTTGTGTTTGTTCCAATGATAGAAGGGTAAAGTTCCTCATTGCCTTGAAAACCATTGACTCACTACTACAAAAAAGGAAAAACACGACGGGAATTCACCGTCGTGTATTCTGTTTTCAAATGGTCGTGGAATCCACCGACATCTTTTCCATAACCAAACCACGACGGTGAATAACCGTCGTTGTTAAAACAAAAAACGTCATCAAAAAATAAAAACCGGCGTCTTTGTGCTGCAAAAAGACATAAAAAAACAGTCGAGGATGAGAATAGACGACCAACTCCAACAAAAAAAAACGTCGTTAAAAAGGAAACAGATGACAAATATAAATACGACGTCTTTACAATCATAATAGACGACGTTATTGACACCTACTACGTCACAACATTTCCCACAACCGTCGTAAAATAAATTTTCCACTTCGATTTTTCTATGAATTATGACGTGGAAATAGATGTCAGGGTCATTACTTACGACGCATGTATTTACAGAGACGACGTTGAATTGGATAAATAACGTCGGTTCCAAATAAATGAGAGCCGTATTACAGAATTTATACGTCATATTTTGAAAATAAACGACGTGAAAAAAGATGGTGTCATTAATTACGACACAGTAATTTATAATGACGACGTTGTAGTCTATATACAACGTCGTCACCATTAAAAAGACTGTCGTCTTTAATAATTTATACGTCTTCATTTAAAAAATTGACGTCGTCTAATTCATATATCTTAACGTCGACAAGTTTAATGGACTTCAAATACCGTCGTAAAATAAATTTTCCACTTCGATTTTTCTACGAATTATGACGTGGAAATAGATGTCAGGTTCATTAATTACGACGTATGTATTTACTGAGACGACGTTGAAATGAATAAACAACGTCGGTTCCAAATAAATGAGAGCCGTATTACAGAATTTATACGTCATATTTTGAAAATAAACGACGTGGAAAAAATGATGGGGTCATTAATTACGACACAGTAATTTATAAGGACGACGTTGTCGTCTATATACAACGTCGGTACCATGAAAAAGACCGTCGTGTTTAATAATTTATACGTCTTCATTAAAAAAATTAACGTCGTCTAATTCATAAATCTTAACGTCGACAAATTTAATGGACTTCAAATACCGTCGTGAATTCATCCTTTTCCACTTCGTTTATGAAAGAACATGCGACGTGGTAAATTCATGACGACGTCGTCTTTTGTAACGTTCAGGTTAAAGTTCTCGTCTTTTAGACGTCGGTGTTATGGGATTGGAGTCGTGTTATTTTGAATTACATGGCGGTTCTTTATGCTTGTCCGACGTGTTATCCTGGATAACTGTTTCACAATAGCGTCGTGGTTCTTCATTGTTACTTTGCTTTAAGACGTCGGTAAATATATTGCGGTCGTTGAATGCTCCAAAACGTCGTTATTTATTAGAACAGACGTTTGTTTTTCACATTTTTATCAAAACCGTTGTGTTTGTAATCTGGAACCAGTAATTTTTGTACTGATTGTTTTGTGGCCAAAACCTGTATAATGAAAGTGAAGAAATCACATTACAATATATTACAAAATTAATGTCATACACTGCCAATTACATAAAGCATCATTCAACCCTATATCTTCACACCCATCTCGAATATTTTGACTCCCTAACTCAACCACCACTTCATCAAATGTGTTAACATTTGGCATCCCCCTAGTAAATGGTTCACACTCAATTCTCACATCACCTAAGACATCATCACCAATAACATCATTATATTCTCTATTAGGCATTGATAACACTACCGACCAACCACGATGCATCGGGTCGTCAACAAAAAATACTTGTTTGACTTGAGAAGCCAAAACAAATTGGTCATTCCTATGTCCAATTTTACTCAAATCTACAAGGGTAAATCCAGGTTCGTCCACTACAAGACCAGAAGTATTATCAATCCAATCACACCTAAAGACTGGGATTGTAAACTTTTGGTAGTCAAGGTCCCAAATTTCTTGAATGACACCATAGAAACCCATATTTGAGAGAATTGGGTTTTTATCCTTGGCACTAGCAACTTGCATAGTATGTGCAAGTAAATAAACTCCACTATTTTGAGTTGTCCGCACATCATCTTGTGCCTTGATGTTGAATTTAATACCTTTAATGAGATAGCTCTTATATAATGGCACTGCCATGTTTGGACCAGCTGCTAGCCACCTTAAATTTTCTGATACGCCATGATTGTCTTCCTCATTAAGTTCACTTTGAACCTGCAAATTAATCATAACTTAATTCAATCTAACATAGAAAGAAGAAAATTAAAAGTCCAATATGTTATTCAATAACATATACCTTGAAGCGTAGCCATTGAATGAAAGTGCTATTGTGCTTATCCTGCAGCCACTTTGTTCTCTTTCTAAATTTTGGATAAGCGGTCTGGATGTGGATCATATGTTGCCTACATGACACACAAAATTCAAGTATTACGGTCCCAAACATATAAGATAAACATAAGAAATAATTTAAAATGGAAACTTAAAGAATAAAACTCATACGTACTCGATATAAGGTAGGACTTCCTCCGTATTCTCCAAGACATATAGATGTGCTTGGTTCAACAGGTCCCGATCAACTACGCTCACTGTGAAACCTGATAATGGCTTTGAAACTCCCATCTTTTGGCTTGAAGGCACTCCAACTGTACTAACATCAGATAAATGCTCGGTACAAAACTCTACAGCTTCTTCAGCTATATACCGCTCAGCAATGCAACCTTCGGGACGAGTACGATTCTAAACATACCCCTTTAGCACTTTCATATATCTTTCAAACGGATACATCCATCTAAAATATACTGGCCCACACAGACGAACTTCTCTGACAAGATGTACTACTAGATGAACCATGATATCAAAGAATGAAGGGGGAAAGTACTTCTCAAGCAAACACAAAGTAACTACTACATCTTCTTCCAACTTATCTAGCTTGGAAACATCAACAGTCTTTGCACATATAGCATTGAAGAAGAAGCACAAACGAGTTATTGCATACCTTGCAGGCTTCTCCAAAACAGAACGAATTGCCACAGGGAGCAATTGTTGCATTAAGGTATGACAATCATGTGATTTAAGGCCAAGAAGTCTTGAATCTTGTAAAGATACAAGATTTTTTATATTTGAAGAATAACCTTTCAGGGACCTTCATACCATAGAAAGAATTGCAAACCTCTCTCTTCTCTGCTCTTGACAAATTCCAAGGCCCGGGAGGCAAACGAGTACGTCTTTCTCCATACTCGGGTTGCAAATCAGTTTTGACCCCCATGTTCAATAAATCTAATCGAGCAGCAATCCCATCTTTATTTTTTCCAGGGATCTCCAGCAATGTACCAATGATACTATCGCAAACATTCTTCTCAATGTGCATAACATCTAGGACATGCCTCACAGGAAGGTATTTCCAATACTCGAGATCAAAGAATATTGATTTCTTCTTCCAACAAACTCTGTCACCATCTTCAACCATATGCAGCACTTCTTCTCCGGTTAATGGCTCAGGAGGCGTGCCATATTCAGGTTTCCCATTAAAAGCTGCACGTTGCCTCCTATATGGATGATTGATCGGTAACCATTTTCTATGCCCAATGTAACAAATTTTGTGGCCATTTTTCAACCTGTGACTAGGTGTATCATCGCCGCATATTGGACAAGCTTTATATCCTTTAACAACACAACCAGATAAGTTTCCATAGGTGGGGAAATCATTAATTGTCCACATTAATGCAGCTCTGAGTGTAAAGTATTCTCCATTATGTGCATCATACACTCCTCCAATCCCATCCCACAAAGATTTTAAATCATCAATCAAAGGCTCCAAGTAGACGTCTATATCATTTCCGGGCTGTTTAGGACCGGAAATCAATAAGGTCAACATCATGAACTTTCGTTTCATGCACAGCCATGGAGGGAGATTATATGTAACTAAGATAACTGGCCAGCAACTATATCTGCTACTTAGAGAACTGTGGGGATTGAATCCATCAGATGAAAGAGCCAATCTCAAGTTTCTCGGCTCATTACCAAACTCGGGCCATTTATCATCAAGAAGTTTCCAAGACGGGGAATCCGCTGGATGAGACATATAACCGTCAAGAGATTTTCTAGCAGCATGCCAAGTCAAACTCTTAGCGGTCTCATGTGATCGAAACATCCTTTTAAACCTTGGAATTGGAGGAAAATACCACACCACCTTCGCTGGCACACCCTCTTTCAAGATTGAATCTTTGCCTTCGTTCCACCTTGAGATACCACAATTAGGACAATGAGTTAAATCCTCATACTCCTTCCTATACAAGATGCAATCATTGGGGCATGCGTGCATTTTCTCATAACTCAGCCCCAATGCACACAAAGTCTTTTTTGCCTCATACATAGAGGCCGGTATTGTATTTCCTTCTGGAAGCAAATCGCCTTGAAGTATCAATAATTCTGTAAAACAGACATCACTCATCCCATATTTTGCCTTCAAATTATACAACTTCACTAATGCCGATAACTTCGTGTACTTTCTACAACCAGGGTACAATGGTTGATCTCCATCCCCAATCACATTGGCAAACTCATAAGGATCAGATCCAAAATCACCAAAATCATTATCATCCATCTCTATTTCTTCAGACACAAAACTGTACCTACTATGGTCATCATCTTCTTCAACATTTCTACTAGCATTAGTAGCTGCTTCCCAAGGTTCTCCGTGAAATGTCCAATTCTTATAGCTTTGGTCAACTCCATTAAAGTATAAGTGATCCCTTATAATTCCAACCCCAAACAATTTCAAATTAACACATTTAACACATGGACAACGGATATGTGTGGTAGTTAGAAGATTTTCTACAGAAAAGTTCAAAAATGCTTCCACCCCTAACTCATATGCCTTCGATCTTCTATCCGAGTGCATCCATGACTTATCCATCTCCGACACTATACCCTATTATATATAATAAAGTGAAAAGACAAGCAATGACCATCACTATAGCAGATTATATAAAGTCTAATAGCAAGTAATATACAACAGAGACGACAGTTTTTAAACAAAAACAGACGTATTTGACATATATAGACGACGGATTTTACGTCGTCTAATTATAACCACGACAGTAGTTAAATAACACCGTCGTGTATAAGTAATAAAAACGACGGTTTAAAGTAAAAACCGTCGTCGTATGCCTGAAAACGCGTCGATATCCAATTTATTTTCAAGATCCCAAAACCCTATTAAGAACACAACATAGACATGAAACCAAGCAAGAAACCAACATATACTAAGCATGAAAACAAGCAATAAATCCATTCCCAATTCAACATAACATAGAGTGATTAAAAGATCCGACAAAATGAAATCCATTCCTTCAATAAATCCATTCCCAATTCAACATAACAGAGAGTGATTAAAAGATCCGACAAAATGAGAGAGCGAAATGTTATGTTGCGCGAAATCTGAAAATTTTAGGGTTCAGGGTTAGAAGTATAAAAATAAGAGCCAAATCTGAAAATTTTAGGTCCCGCGAATATTTTAAGAAAGGGCGCTTTTTAAAACATCGACCGAAAAAACACGCGTCGTTAAAATTTAACATTAAACATGACGCTTATTACATTAAGGACGTCGTGGTAAAACTATGTACCACGCAAAATCAAAAAAGGCGTTAAAACTATGAAAAACCACGTCGGAGTTAAGTAATTAACGACGTTGTAAATAATAATAAACGACTTACGTGTAAACAAAACGTCGTTTAAAAGAGAAACCACGTCGGATTTTTTACCATACGACGTAAACTCAATATTCCACGACTCAATCACCGTCGTTAAAAGTAATACCCTAAACTTTAAAACCATAAATTATATATTTGTAAAATTTAATTTTATAAAATTGTTTATGGTTTTACATCCTAATAAATAACAAACATAAACCCTAAACCCCAAAAATTATACTTTAACCATAAACCCTAATAAATAACAACCCTAAACCCTAAACCATCAAACTATATAAGTGATGCTATGACTCATCAAAACAATTTTATTTTGGTTGGTCATTTTAAACTTTTATTACACAAACTGCATTTTTTTGGGGGTTAGGGGGAAGAAAATATATCAATGACTTCATAGGAGTTGAAGTTGAATTTTTTGAATTTATTTTAAATTTATTTTTAAAATTTTGAATTAAAAATAATAAAATATTTTATATCAACAACAAACCACGGCGGGGTTAAGTAACTAACGACGTTGTAAATAATAATAAACGACTACGTGTAAACAAAACGTCGTTTAAAAGAAAAACCACGTCGGATTTTTCACCATACGACGTAAACTCAATATTCCACGACTCAATCACCGTCGTTAAAAGTAATACCCTAAACTTTAAAACCATAAATTATATATTTGTAAAATTTAATTTTATAAAATTGTTTATGGTTTTACATCCTAATAAATAACAAACATAAACCCTAAACCCCAAAAATTATACTTTAACCATAAACCCTAATAAATAACAACCCTAAACCCCAAACCCTAAACCCTAAACCATCAAACTATATAAGTGATGCTATGACTCATCAAAACAATTTTATTTTGGTTGGTCATTTTAAACTTTTATTACACAAACTGCATTTTTTTGGGGTTTAGGGGGAAGAAAATATATCAATGACTTCATAGGAGTTGAAGTTGAATTTTTTGAATTTATTTTAAATTTATTTTTAAAATTTTGAATTAAAAATAATAAAATATTCTTATATCAACAACAAACCACGACGTTGTAAATAATAATAAACGACTCACATGTAAAAAGGACGTCGTTTAAAAGAGAAACCATGGCGGATGTTTCACCATCTGACGTAAAATACATATTCCACGACCGAATCACCGTCGTTAAAAGGTATTAACCTAAACCCTAATAAACGACTTACTTGTTCAAAAGGACGTCGTTTAAAAAGCGAAACCATGGCGAAATTGTCATCAAAACGACGTCCCATGTACGTCCCATCACGTCTAAATATCATTTTACGTCGGTTTTTTACATAATTATGTCGTTGGAAAGTTATTACACGTCGGTTACGCAATTTGTTTTTTCTTTTATATTATGAAAACCTCAGCAAATTTTCAGGGAAAAAAAGGATGTATATTATAGACAAAATTTGTACATTATATATTATAGACAAAATTAGTACATATAAAAATATCAAGTGTTCCAAAAATCCTCTAATCCATATGAAGGCAAACAAACTCTGCCCATTCTTTCCTGACTTCATCAATGGCTGCTTGGGGGTATGGCGCTTGATCTTTTCCCTTGGCAAACTGCAATCCATAAACAATGATTATTAAGCTTTACAAAATAAAAAGAAATTCAGACACAGACGACGTTTTTTTTCATAACCGACGTAGTCTATCGATTCAACGACGGTAATTTTAAATGACCGTCGTTGATAATACAAAAAACCACATAAAATGTTTCTGAAAATTTTATTCTTACCTTCTTCTCAAACTCCAAGGAAGGATCCATGATGATGTCCCTCATGAAGCGCATCACATAATACCCGCATTCGACACTGCTGGGTTGCTTTGGTGTGCCTGGCAGAGTTTTCCAAATTGGTGCTTTACGGCCTGGTCTGCCTATGTGGGAATTATAAATTTTTAAAGCACTGTTCACGATGTTTTTGCCCTCCTCATCAACCACACGATTTCCAGGCAGAGGATCCAGAAAATAGACGGTTTCCCTCTTTGCCCTCACAATCAGCAAGACCCAATGACGGCTGCACAAAAATAAAATAAAAAACGACGGTTATTTATAAAAACCGACGTATTATATAGTTTCACACGACGTAATAACTTAATCATCGACGTCATTATAAATTTATCACGACGATAATTAACTACCGACGTGGTTAGTTGTTTCAAACGACTCAATAAATAAATAACCGACGTGGTTAGATGTTTCAAACGACACAGAATTAGTTAAACAGTTTTATAAGTGAAAATCATACAAACAAAATCCTTTTAAGGAGACTAACCCTGGATTGTAAGGCATCATGAAAATCTGTTCACCATCTGTTTTCTGAAGTCGACTGGCTACAATTCGTGATCTGTCAGTTAGTGACCCAGCGTTGGCACTAACTTGAGCAGGGTCGATAAAGCCAACCATGCTGCACATATTTGCTTCTCTCAAAAGATCATATAAGCACCTAAATATATAAAACAAACGACGGTTATTTATACACAAACGACGTATTATACAATTTCACACGACGAACTGAAATAGAAACAGACGTGATAACTAATTTATCACGACGGTAAAAAAGAACGACGTGGTTAGTGGTTTAAAACGACGCAATAATTAAACAACCGACGTCTTATGATATAATGTTTGATATTTGATTAGGACAAACCTCATATATACTGCAACCACAGTAGCCCCAATTTCTTCCATGCCTGCAAACTGTGTAATATCTTCATGCAAGACGAAGGTACTTCGATCTGCACCAAACACCTCCTTCTCAATGTTGAAGGTCATGATCTTCCCCTGTGGCTTTAGTGTAGTTTCCACATAACCACAAAGGGATTGTAAGGAAGATGGCACCTCCACATTTGAATAATCAACTACTTCATTACCCTGTTTAAAGAAATAAAGCAAAATAAAATGACGTGGTAATTCATTAAAAACGACGGTTTAAATTAAAAAACGTCGTCTGATTATAATTTAAACGACGGTAATTAAATACCGTCGTTTTAGATAATTTATTACGTCGTAGAAAATAAATTCCGACGTCTAATGTGAAAACAAACGACGGTTTTAAAGAAAAATATCGACGTCTGAAATGTGAAAAACAAATTAAAAAGGCAAAGTTATGAGAATATACCTCCTCGTCATGCTTTTCTTCATCTTGTTTTTCTTCTTTCTTCTCTTCATCATTTGTGTCTTCCTTTTTGCCTTCATCTTTTTTCTCTTTTTTTTCTTCCTTCTTCCCTTCATCTTTTTTTTCTCCCATCTTCTGTTCATCTTTTTTTCTTCTTTCTTCTCTTCATCTTGATTATCTAAAGCCCCAGATTTCTGTTTTAAATAATAAAGAAATATATATATAAGACAGATTGTACAGAGAGTAAAAAAATTAAACCAAAACGTCGTGGTAAGGCATAACATAAGACGGTATGTAAGAATTATGGACGTCTTAAAATTATTAAACGATGGTAAATAATAAACGTCGTGGTAATTGTATATTACGTCGTTAAGGACTAAAAACCGTCGTCTAAAAACCACAAAGTACGACGTCTAATGGCGTGTAAAACAAGTAAACTAAATACGACGTGGTATTTAAATAAACACGACGGGTTATTTATAAAATCGTCGTGGTATGGTTTTAAAACGACGGGTTTATTCATAATAACGACGTCTAATGTTTAAAAAAAAACAGAGAATTCAAAGTTCAGATATGTTACCGTTTCTTCCTGCTGTTCCCCATTTCTGGCAGTATCATCCTCTAAATGTAGGGATCTCACTTCAGCCCCAGAACAGCTTGCTTTATCAGACATTGGATTTTGGGACTTTGCTGTAGACCTTGGTTTTGACAGGGGCTAGTTTTCGGTTTAAGCATGCTTGGATCAAAATTGGGGATGAGGTGGGAAAGCTGACTTAGTAAATGTTCCCTCTCAGCCTCTACTAATTGTTTGGTTCTAGCTTCCATCTTCTTAGTCTCTTCTTGAAGGACAATTCTTACACTTTCCTTCAATTGATCAGCAAACTTTACCCTCTGTGGTCTAGGTAAATTGAAGAATTGCCTAGGGGAAATCCCAGCACCTACCCCTCTTACTCTCCCTGGATGCTCGGGACCCAAAGCCAAGGTCAACACATCATTACTGCCAGTTAAACTCAGACTGCCTTCAGCCACTTGTTTTTGCAATTCATCCTAAAACAAAGACATACAAAAAAGTCAGCACAAGAAAACACACGACGGTTATTTATAAACAAACGACGCATTATATAATTTCACACGACGCACCAATATAGAAATCGACGTTATAATATATTTATAACGACGTTAATTAAAACCGACGTGGTTAGTTGTTTAAAACGACGCAATAAATAAACCACCGACGTCTTATGCTGTAATTACAGAAAACAGAGTTGTGATTCCAGATTTAGATCTTTCACGACGTTTTTGAAAACATTTCGACGTAGTAATAACATTAACACGACGAAAAAAATTAACCACCGACGTCTTATGCTATAATTACAGAAAACAGACTTGTGATTCCAGATTTAGATCTTTCACGACGTTTTTTAAAATATTTCGACGTAGTAAAATCATTCACACGACGGAAAAATATAACATAAGACGTAATAAGAATTATACACAGTTTAATAAAAATTTAAAACAGAGTGTGTAGGCTTACAATTAATTTTGCTTTCTCTGCCACCTTTGGATCCGGGATGTTACCATGTTTGTCCTGTCTAGCTTTCTTCCATAAGGTAGATCGATCAATTTCTACCCCAGGCATGGTTTCCTCCAATTGATCCTCCAAACCAGCATATCCTTTTCGAGACAATCGATGATTGTACTCAAGTTTCTCCCTAATCTGTGAATGTTGAGAATGCACAGACTCAAATTCTTTGGATAACCTTGAAGCTACAAAGGCATCCCATTCTGCTTTCTCTATGAATTTATATACTTCAGGGGGTTGGCTTAATTTCTCCCTCTCCTTGATGTATGGAAGGATATAATGCCTCGTCAGTGTAGACTTGAAATCCTTCCATTTCTTGGCAGCAGAAGATAACACCGAGGTCTTGCCCCCTTGACCTACCACAAAAGCCATGTCAACGGCTTCCCAAATCTGCTCCTTTATATCCTTGGGGATTTCAGCCCATTTCTTGTCCACAAGTGGGACTCTGGAGCGTGCCAACACACCAATGTAGGACTGCATCTCAGTATGTGCAGGGCCACATCCTTTCCCCCTTTTATTGTACTCAACAACTGGCTTGATTTTCTGCAATTTTCTCTTCACAACACGAGGCATTGTGCTCATACCTCGACCTGACTTTGAATCCTCAGAAATTGTTGTCGTGCTGCTTGGTTCTGTCTCAGCAGATGAAACAAACTTCATCTTCTTCAAGGGCTTGTCTTGAGGAGTTACCATTCCAAGCTCCTTACCTCCATTTTTTTGGAGCCAGAGTACTTACTTTGGTCTTGAGAAACCATGGTTACAGAATAAACAAACCTGCAAGTGAAAATATTTCGGGAAAAAAATTAGAACACAAACGACGGTTATTTATAAACTACGACGTATGATAAGATTTTACACGACGTAATAACATAACATCAGACGTAATAAATGTTTAAAGAAGAAACAATATAAATGTTTAAACAACGACGAAACAATATTAAATAAGACGTAATAAGAACTTATTACGGCGATATTTACACGACGTCGTGATATTCATATTAACACGACGTAAATATTAATATAACGTCGTGTTATGGATATTCACACGACGTGAATAATAAGCTACCGTCGTATTTATAAGAAACCAAAAACATTTTTCTTTCTCTGTGAATGTTTGATTGCAGGTTTAATTTCTCTGAAACATGGTTTTTGTTTTTCCTAATTTGATAAAATACAAAGAAAAAAAGCTTTGGCATCTTTTTATAGACGACGGTATCTTAGTATAACGTCGTGGTATGAACATTCACACGGCGTCAATAATAAGATACCGTCGTCTATATAAGATACCAAACCCTACTTTCTTTGTCTCTGTATTTTATCAAATTAGGAAAAACGAAAACCATGGTTCAGAGAAATCAAACCTGCAACTAAACAAGCAAATAAAAAATTGACCGTCATTTTAAAAACAACTTAGATCAATTTTAAGACGACGCTAGGACGACTGACGAACCGTCGTGGTCTACATATTTAACCACGTAAATAAAAAGCTACCGTCGTCTTATTTAGTTGAATTAGTTGTGTTCAAAGTTGAAACTTTCCCTCTCTGTCTGTGTATTTTATCAAACTTGGAAAGAATAAAAATGATTTTCGCCAGAAAAAAGGTAAAAAGATTTTCAAAACAAAAACAGTATGAGCATGCAAAATAGCAACAAAATAGTGAGAAATGAAAGCTTACCTTTTGCGTGCAATGAAAGCTTTCTCTCGGATTTTGGTGTTTAAGTTCAGAGGCGACGACGAAGACAAGAGGAAGACGATGAGATACTCTGACAGTGCTCTGACAAGGAAAAAAGACGAAAAGTTTTCTCTGGGAGATTGAAATTTTTCTCGGGTTTGGAAACAGTGCATGTGTAAGTCAGGTAGACGAAAAGTTGTATATGTATACAAACCGTTTCATAGTAATAAGACGGCGGTTTACATAGAACGACGACGTATTAATAGACAAACTACGACGTTAATTTGAACTTATGACGTGGTACATAAATACGACAGTAGTGTTGTAGGTACCGCCGTAGTAAACTCCTAAATAAAAGTCGATAACTCAATATCTCGCGTCATGGTAGAAATATTTAACACGACGGTTGTTTTAAATTTACGACGTTTAGTTTTATAATATACGTCGTTTTATTGTAATATACCGACGTGGATAACACTAAACTAAAACGACGTATTATTTTTTCACGACGTGGATTCGTTTTTAAACGTCGTTATGTGTAATATAACCGACGTGGATTTTATTTTTTTATTATAAATATAATTTTTTTCCCCTTTTTCTTATAGTTTATTTTTCAAAAACAGTGCCTTATAGATATAGTTTTTTTTTCCCGAGGAAATTAATGTTCTAGAATTTGTAAAGTTTCTTTTCTAGGTGACTGATTTAAATCAAATAAAAATATAAAACAACGACTGTTTTTGTTATACCGTCGTCGTTTCTTGTCGTCTTAAGTAAGAATAAAACGACGTAATGTATTTGTTACCGACGAGGATTATTTTTGTTAAACGTCGTTATGTGTAATATAACCGACGTGGATTTTGTTTTTTAATTATAAATAGGGTTTTTTTCCACGGGTTCTTTCAGTTTTAGTATTCGATTAGGGTTTCAACTTCTTCTTGCCCCTTTCTCTGTCTCACCTCATCTCTTGGGAGGCAATTGTTTGAATGTTGGTTATCTGTGGCTGATGATTGCAAATCACCAATTTTCAATAAATTGTCTCTCTGTTTGCAAATCTGTGGCTGCCATCGTGAAGTTTTAGGAGGCGATTGTTTGGATGTGAATGTGTGTGTGCGTTTGTGTAGATACACAAACGCACACACATCATTCACTTCCAAAAAATTGTCTCTCTGATTGCAAATCTGTGGCTGCCGTCGTGAAATTTTAGGAGGCAATTGTTTGGATGTTGATGTGTGCGTGCGTTTGTGTAGATACACAAACGCACACATATCATCAACTTCCAAAAAATTGTCTCTCTGTTTGCAAATCTGAGGCTGCCGTCGTCAAATTTCAGAAGCAATTTTTTGGATGTTAATGTGTATGTGCGTTTGTGTATCTCAAAGACACAAATACACATACATCATTAACCTCTAAAATATTGTCTTTCTGGTAAGATTATGATGAGCAACAGAGTTCCATCTTGTAAGATTTTCTAACCCTTGTGATCTCAGAATAATCTGATTATGTCGGCGGTTTTCTATATAAACCGTCGTGGTTATTTCAATTCTTGTCGTTAAGTAGATCTACCGACGTAGGATAACAAAATCCAAGAAATAAATTGTTAAAAAAAATTCTTATTCAGACGACGGTTTAAATATAATGTATGACGTATAAAGTGTCCAAATACGACGTTAAATTCTATAATACGTCGTTATATGAAAACCCCAACTTGGTAAGATTTAAAGATGTCGTCGTAGAAATACGAGAAAGACGTTGTTATATTTACCTTTGCCGTAGTTGTACATTAATTTAATACGGCGGTATTTTGTATTTTACCGCCGTGGATTTATTTGTAATTATACGGCGCCTTATACGAAAACTTGGTCGTGTTAATTTCTGGGTAAAAACGACGGCTTTTTTTGAAACCGTCGTCTTTACTTTCCACGTCGGTCGGTTCATAACTTCCGCCGTTATTTGTTGGCTATGATTTTACCTCTTGAAAATCCTATTTCAATAAGACGTCGGTTTTTTAATTAAGTACGTCGTGTTTTAGGAACAGCCATTTGAAACTCCATTTTTTAGTTGTCTAATGTGTTATTACACGGCGGTTTTATAAAACCGTCGTCTTTTAAAAAACAACGATGGTTTTCACTTAGACCGTCGTGTTTTTCTGGTCGTCTTTTTCACTTTTTGTAGTAGTGACTGGCCAACAAGTCAACTTTCTTTGGTGTGCAAGCGTGCCACTGCTAGCAATAACAATTCTAGTAGATTTCTTGAAAATAGATGACTTGCGCCCCAAGTTACTAATTTCTAAACAAACGATTGTGAATTTGGGTGAGGAATAGATAGTGTCTCTTGAAAACAGTGCCTTTCTTAGGAGCAGAAAATATCTCTGAATATATATATAAAAAGGGATTTTTGATCTTCTGGTGGCAGAGTTTCAGAGAAGTCTCTTCCTAGTTGCCTGCTTTTATCAACTCTTTATCAATTTAGTTGAAATTGTTGACTTTTCAAAGTTTATTTCAGATTAGTCATGTGGGCCTCTTCAGAAAAGAGCTGTCGATTTATCCCTGGGCCTTTTGAGAGAAATGGTAGATTTTGTAGACTAGGCCCAATCTGATTTATAATCGCCATTTGACTTGGCATTTTTTTACTTTTCTACGATTTTCTGAAAAAGACGTGGGTTGGGCTTGCTCCTGTTATGATATTTGAAGCCCATTTTTCTATTCCTTTTGTTTCGTGGGCATTTGAGAAGTGGGTCGGCGTGTATTTGCTTTTGGCCCAAACAATGCCTCCTTAAGTCTAAACCGTTTTAAAACGGTTTCAGACTTAATGATTGGCCAATCAATGATGTGCGCCATTTCTTGCCGTTGCACTAGCGCACATTTGTCTTTTCAATTTAGGCTTCGTGGGGAAATGAGTTCTAACGGCTAATTAAATTTGAATCAAAACTCCTTCATTCTTCCTTTCCCACGATCTTTCTGCCCAGTTTCTAAAGCTTTGTCGAATCCCCCTTACTGTTTTATCGAACCCTAACTCTATCTCAGCTTCTATTCCTTTCGAAACCCTCTATTCTTTTGACTTCCTTCCTTTTGATTCCCCTTTTGTTCTTTTGATTTCGAAGGAGTGAAAGAAAGATGTCTTCTCCAAACACTCGTGCCAAGAGTTCCTCTTCTTCACGCTCTCCTGCCTATCTCACCGGAGATGGGGTTGATCAACATGCGATTGAGGTTCGTAGCAGACTTCACCCATATGCGCGGAAGAATCTGGATGAAAATGTTCTTCATTTGTTCGATAACACCCTTGTCTTGGGTCCTCACTGGTTTGGCTCCGTGTTGGAAGAAATAGCGGCCTTGCTCAAGGATGATGCTGAGGCTCCTCTGTGCTTTCAAAGTTCCATGGCTCTGTCTTCTCATACCTGGGTGAGTAAGAACCTGAGTCGTTCCTATCCTTCAAGTGAAGTGAGGAATAGTGCAGTGAGCTGGTCTAATTGGATTGACAGACTTCTCCTGAGGCATGGAGCTTATTGGAAAAAGGTCGGGGTTTATGACGCGATCCTTCTATCTAAGAATTTAGTAAACAGAGCCGAGAATCTATTGGCTACTGCCTTGTGTTTTTGGAATTCAGCCAACACCTTCGACTTTGTCTAGGCCCTATGACTCCAACTCTGCTGGATCTGGCTCAAATATTTGGGTTCAGGCCTGTTAATGCTGTTGGTGACTACCACAGAGGGAAAAATCGAGAGAGATTGGCCAAGCCCTTCACCATCTCTGCAACCATGATTAACCAGAATTGTTCCTCCTCCAATTTCTTGAAGAAGTCCAGCACTGAGAAGGAGAAGGATCAGCAACACATGTTGTTCCTGCTATATTGGTTAAATAGGTTTGTCCTTCCTAACCGCTCTTCGGCAGTTCTGCTGAAATACAGGCACCTGGAAGAGGCCTTGCATAATAATGCTGACGTGGGACTTGGCCCCACAATTCTGGCTCACCTGTACAAGAACCTTCACAGTGCCACTTTGGAGAGTCCACTGAATATCTTTGCACCTGGCGCATTATGGATTATCCAGATCTGGCTGCAGGTCTATTTTCCAGAACTGAGATTTTCGGACATCATTCTGCTTGAAGACTAGGTTATGGCAACTCCTTTGATGTCGGCAGAATTGCCTAAGCGCTCAATTGAAGAGTATGTCATTTTCTTTAGGCACTGCACCAAGAGGTCTGCTGCTCAGTGGCAAGTGGTGCTTAGAAGAACATACCCTTGGTTCCAACCTGGACACAGACTCTTTGAGTAGGAGCCTGAAGAAGAAGAAGCAAGAACTGATTTCAGAAAAAAGTTTCTGAGTGTGACGCTGCCCCGGGATAAGCCTTTCGGTGGGGGCAAGCCTCCTAATTACCATTTGGGAGCAGAGGTCTATCACTCCAACTTCTATGCCAGGCAGCTTGGCTGCCCCTAACTTATCCCTCTCAAGTCTTACAGAAGCTGCAACTGTGCTACTTTGTGGAGGGATTCAGATGACCTGGATGTGCACAAGGATTGCAGGTGTTTAGTGAACAAGATCAACAACAGTGTGAATGCCCTCTATCCATCCTGGGAGCCTAATTCTTGCAGTTCTGGCGAGCTTGATGCCTGGTGGAAAGCTCATTTCGCCGGAGTGCTAGATGCCAATACTTCTGTGTTTGTCCGTCGCAAATCTCGCGGCCTGATGCTCCGAGCCGAGGGGATGTGCGTCAACATGTGACGTCCTTCTTTTGGATGCGGTGCGGTTGTGCGCGGGCGTGACAGCACGGTCTACCGTGCGTTGAGATGGTGATGGGGTTTGGGTAGAAGATGTTCAAATGATGCACCCGTTTGGAGTTAGACTTCTAGTCAAACGATTGTGGCCGAGAGAGGAACTTATCTCGTCCGTCAGGTTCACGGCCTGAGCTACAAGGCCGTTTAGTGGTGGTGTTGGTGGATTTTGGGCGGTGCTCAGGCACGTTGCTCGGAGAGCGACGGTCGTATGATATATGGGGTGAATGAGGCGGGTAACAAGGATGATGCTCCGGCGCCTTGGGAAATCAAGGGTCGTATGATATATTGATGAATGGATTTTCCTTACAATCTATCACTACTCCTAGGAAAGCATGTAAAGGTATTGAAAGTGCAATGCAAAAAATATAAGTTGCTCCGTGGGAGGCTTTTGGTTTGGTGTTCGAACCCCTTGAACGTGGTCTCGAGCTTAGTATTTATAGGAGGAGTCCTGGAGGGCCAATCGAGGCTGAAAAAAGATCTGCCTGATGACTTAAAAATATCTGCATGGTGGAGTCTGATTGGGGCAAGTGAGTGGTCAAATCGGCATTTGGGATTGTGAAGCATGGTGGTCTGGGTTGAGAAGCATGGTGGTGTGACCCCCATAAATCTCGGCAAATCTCGGCCACCGCCCTGATCGTGGGCTCTGGCCCCTTGGCCGTGGGAACGCATTTAATGCTCAGGTCCAGTGGTTGGTGACCTGACCTCAAGCTGTGAGAATGCTTTGTGAGAATGTTTGCGCCTGACCACTCTAATCCCTGTTACCAAATCCTGACTTCAATCACTTCCCTTCTGCCCTCGTGCATTAAATGCTTCTTGCACCCAGTGGTTTTCCTGTGGCGGTCAGAGGCACTACTTCATTAAATGGGGCGTGGGACCCTGAGGCCACGTGGCTATTTGACCACAGTCTCTTCGGTCGGGTCATTCATGGACCTCGGCCTCGGCCCATAATGCCGTGGTTGTGAGGCCGAGAAGATCCTGCCTTCGCATTTTCTTCTGCTTTCGAAAAGGTTAGGTGTCTGACGAAACGTGGCCGTTTCAGTCCATGGACAGGTGCCACGGCCGAGAAGAGGTCCCTTCTGACGACCGTGATTTATTAGGTACAAACACTGTGAAGACTTTGTTTGAAAACTGGGATGCTGGGACTGTCCTGGCAGAAGTAAAAGCCAGGAAATTCATAGTGCAACTGGTCAAAAGCATCAATGCTCAAGTGATTGAAGGTAAACTTGTCAATTATGCTACTTATTTTTTGGATTTCTGCACTCTGAAATGTGTCTTGATTCTATTCTACCTGTTTATCTCAGACCCCTCCATGACAAGCAATCTTGGGAGATAAAGCGTCCAGGCTGGGGAAGTAGTTGGTGAGCCTTCGAATTCTGCTCTTAAGCCTGTTTTCGCTGGGCTATCTGCTAACCCTTTCTTCTTTTGTGTAGTTACATCTGTTATCGCTGTTGGGGATCTGGAGCTTCCTTTTGGTGATGAACAAAATGATTATGAGACTCTGGCTGAAACTAGTGCTTAGGCAGCTCCTTCTGCCAGGAAAAATAAAAGAAAAGAAGTCACTCAGGCTCAAGACAGTGTTGTCTAGTCTGATCCCCTAGGTATAATTGTGAATTATCAATTCTGTCGATTTTTTATCAGTTTTGCACTTAATTATGACTTCTTTCCTTTGTGCAGTTGAAAGCTCCCCTCCCCCTTCCAAGGCGAAGAAGCTGAGAAAGAAGAGCCTGCAGCAGTTCCTACTGAGACCATAGGAACTTATGAAGAGCTGCGAGAGGCTTTTGAGGCCGTGGAACAAGAGAAGGAGGTTTCAAAAGGAGAGAAAGAAAAGACAAAAGATGGAGAAGAAGAAGTGAGATTGTAGCAAGAGATCCTCTTTTTTTGACACCATCCTGACTTTTGTTTTGCATTCCCTTTTGATTCGAGTTCTGTTATGTCTTTCTGTAGGAAGAGATTCTTGCTGAAATAATAGTATAGAGCTTTGAGCTGGCAAAGAAACAAAAGAGGCCCAAAGAGCAGAGCCTACCAGTTCAGAATTGGCTCTTTTCGATGATGTGGAGGTAGAACACTTTGCTGCTATTCCAGCACCTGAGGTAGTTTCCTTTTTTTGTTTTGTCTGGTTCTGCAGTTCTATCTTCCTTTATCTTTCTAATTGAGGTTCCTTCCCCCCTTTTTTTTAGGTGGAGAAGGACAGAACTACTGGGACTTTGGCTGTGGTGACCAGCCCTCTCAAGCCACCCATTGTGGCTATAAGTGTTAATGTACCTCTAGCCCTTTTGTTTCTTTTTTAGTTCCTAGTCTAGAGTTTACTAAAACAATATCTTTGCAGATGCCTATCCACTCCATTCCTAGCTCACCAGCTACTGCCTCATTTGCTGACCCAGAGTTGGCAGATTTTGAAGCCATAGACCTGGATGCTCAACTGGACAGATTAGAGCAGCTCAGCTCTATTCCAAGCAAGGCCAAGTCTAAAGCAGTGGATGAGGCGGTGAACAGAGTAAGAATATGGCAGTCAACGGAGCTGGACTTGTATGAAAGTGGGGAGGCCATAGATCAACTGATGCAGGATCTAGATCTGCTGCATAGGTAGAATGTGGCTCCTAGGCCCATTCTTGAGATCAGCCTTGGCTTCGCAAGAGACGTGCTCAATCTCCACAATCGCTATGAAGATCTCAAACCCTCATTCAATGCTTCTGAATTATGCAAAGCTACCCATGAAGCTAACCTGGCTGACTATCAGAAGCAGAAGGCAGAATTGGACATGATGGTTGCTGATTATAAAGAATCAAAGATCGTTGCTGATAAACTGGAGAAACACATTGTGGAACTTCAGAAGCAGCTAGCTAGCTTGAGGGATAAGCAGAACAAGCTAGGAGCTGGTCTGGGCACCAATACCAAGGCTACTTTTCTTGTGCAGAACATGGTCCCAGCTTCCAAGCCGACTTTGGAGATTGCAGAGGCCTCTCTTCATCAAGGGATGCTTCTTCAGCAAGAAATTTCTACCAAGACGGCCGGATTGCAAAAGACTATTGGAAAATTAGGACTTTAATATTTTAGATTAAAATGTAATAAAACTTTAGTCATGGGAAATGACTATATTTAATAAAAATTTATTTTTGTGGAACTTTTGTTTTTGCAATTTCCTTCGTCAACATAAAAGAAAGCAGAAATAGTAAAGATTAATAATTTACAAAATAAAAACAGACTTTGAGCAGAAATTTAGGTAACACTTTCAATTTGTTGCCTCTCCATTCCAGGATTTGTTTGCACAGCCTGTGAATCCCACATAGTTGGATAAAATTTCTTCAACCAATTGCCATTAATTGGCGCAGCATGAACTTCTCCATCTCGATCCTGTAATCTGTATGCCCCCATTCCAAGGATCTAATTAATTATGAAATGACCTTCCCATGTAGGTGACCACTTTCCATAACCAGCTATATGTGTTCTAAGGGGCAGAACTGCTTTCCAAACTATTTCTCCCTCTTCAAAACTCTTGTTTTTAACTCTTTTGTTGTAGGCTCTTGATACAGCCTGCTTTCCTGCTAAGAGTTTGTTAAGGGTATCAATCCTACTTGCATCCAATCCTTCCAGTTCTAGCAGCATGGCTTGGGAATAGTCTTCCCCAACCAGATTGTGTTGATGAGCTATTCTGAGAGACTGGACTGCTATTTCCATAGGCAGAATTGCATCATGGCCATAGGTGAAAGCATAAGGGGTCATGCCAGTTGCCTCTCTTTTTTATGTTCTAAAAAACTTGTTGAGCCAATTCTTAACAAATAAAATGAGTTATTAAAAACAGCAACTTTAATTCTCGCAAGTGCACGAACCATTTATAGTATAGCTTATGTAAATACGAGGTCGATCCCATGGAGAATGGTAACTTGGTTCCAAGTTAAATTACTTAGAATGCTAGAAAAACATAGAACAAAGAAACTGACTATCTAGCTAAAGGCAAGGTCGAATTCAACAATGCCTCGTGATACTCAAGGTCTAGGACAGAATCCTAACACCACACACGCACTCGAAATAGGGGGTTTTGTTGTTGAAATGAAAAGAAGAAAGTGAAATGAAAGTGTTCGAAAGTAAACATTGGACAGATTGTGAAACAATAATTGAGAGGTGTTAGAGCCTTGGAATCCACCACTAGTTCTCCTATCCAAGTTATGAATGCATAGAAATTGATTCAAGCTTCATCAACAATAGATTATCGCATACAAGCCTATGGTATCTAGGTGCAGGATGCATGATTCTCCTAAGGCATGTAATTGTGCATGGTATCTACACAACACATGATCTCTAATATGCAACCTAAGCATGGTATCTACTTAGAATAAAGCATACAAGATTCATTAAGCTCTATGAGAATATGATAATCACACAAGTCCTAGAACATGGTATCTGTCCTAGTCAACCTATGGTTATTAACCCCTTGAATGATTCTTAGGCCATTCATGTGTTGCTTGTGAAAGGAGAGTAGAATTGGTGAATCTAAACCCCTTCCCAACCTGTGCTAGATGCATAAATTCTAGTTAGCTACTCCAAGAAAACATACATCAGGCACATAATAAACTGGAGATTAACAACTTGATAATGAAAGCAAGGAAATCAATTAACTATAAAATCATCCATAACATTGAATATTAATGACTAGGGCTTCATCCTAAGCCCTAACTAAATGGATTAGTTAGACATAACTATGAATAAAGAAAATAAGAAATACATAGATAGAATAAAGAGAAGAGAAGAACTAGCTGGCAGCAATATAGTTCCCAGGATAGCTCCAAGCTCTCTTCTCTCTTTGTGGTGAATCTGAATATGTGTATGAGAGTAATGGATGAAGTGAAAATGTGTCTCTGACTCTCTCTATATCCCTCTTGAATGAGTGTGCAGCTCTCTCTATATAGAGTGCAATTTTGTCCTCCCCTTTGGCTGGTGAAGCACACCCCTCTTAGCTGCTCCCAACTGCTCTAGCTGCCCATACTTGCTAACTGCTCCAGCTAACAAGTACATGCTTTGGTATGGTTTCTTTATGGAAAACTTGACTTTTGTTCATCCTTCTGAGTTCCTGAGCTTATTTGACTCCCATGTATGGCTGCCCATGTGTAGCACATGGCTCTAGGGATGTAGACACATTAAATGTGATGGCAGCCAACATGACATTTCTGTGAACTTGGTTCAGTCTTTGACGTGCTGAGGGCTCCAGATTTATTCAATTGAGTTGAAATTTGGATATGTTATAATAGACACCCATTAGAACAACTTCTATCAAGGACGTCTCCTCCTCTGACCTGTGCAAGTTGCTGAAATGAGGCCTGAAAGATGACCTACGAAACTGGACTGACAAGAGTGTGGCTCAAATTGGTTTTGTCTTTAAGCTCATATTCCTCTTGTGCCACTCAGCCCTCAACATGCATGAATGGTATCAAATGCCATCCCCTTGCTGTCTTAACCTACAAAACACACAAACATAGGTAAGAGACACAAAATAAAGAGAAGCTAAACAAAATCACTAAGTAAAGAAAGCATGCGAATGTATGAAATTTTGAACTTATCAATATGTCCATAGAGTTTCTGATAACTTCTCATGCCATTGCTTTGGATTTTTCTCAAGCATTTTCTTGATAATGTTGATGATTACCTTGTTACTGGATTCTGCCTGTCCATTAGCTTGAGCATAGTAAGGGGTGGACTGGAGTAGCTTAAATTTGAATGCCTCTGCCATATCCAACATTTCTCCAGATATGAAAGAAGATCCTCTATCAGTTGTGATTGATTTTGGAATGCCAAACCTTTGTATAATCTACTCTTCTATGAAGGTGATGATCTCTTGGGATGTAGTGGATTTAACAGGCTTGGCTTCCACCCACTTGGTGAAATAGTCTGTAGCTACAATGATAAAACAATGCTGCTTACTACTCGCTGGATAGATTTTGCCAATGAGATCCATTGCCCATCCTCTAAAAGGCCATGGTTTTACTACTGGATTCATGGAAACTGAAAGAGCCTGCTGGATTGGGCCGTGCCTTTGACAAGCCTCACATCCCTTGGAATAGTCAATGCAATCTTTCATCATAGTTGGCTAGAAGTAGCCGTATCTTCTGATTAACTAGCACATCTTTCTTCCACCTTGGTGAGCTCCACAGATTCCTTCATGAGTTTCTCCCATGACTTTCATGTATTCTTTCTTTCCAAGGCACCTTAGAAGTACCTCATCCTTGCTCTTTCGGACCAAATCTACATTCCACATAACGTAGTTTAAAGCCATGATTCTGACTCTCTTTTCAGAGGGTAGGGTTGGATATTGCAAGTAATTTATGATAGGATTTCTCCAATCATCTTCAGTGATTATGGCAGAATTGACGTTTATTCCCATCCCTTTGGTCAGAACAGATGGTAGACTCTTCTTCCCTACCTTGATGATCCGTTGCACACAGTCTTCAGGCATTTGTATACTTGTTGCCACTTGAGCCAATTCATTTGCTGCAAAGTTCTCTTCCCTTGGGATGTGGTCCCAAGTAGGTTCTCTGAATTCTGTCAGAAGGTTTCTGGCTGCCACTAGATAGACAGCTAAAGAAGGACTCAAGCACTTGTATTCTCCAGCAATTTGTTTTAAGACAAGCATGGAATCTCCCAGGATCTCCACAGATTGGATTCCTAATTCCACCAACATTTCAAGTCCTATAATTAAAGCTTCATATTCAGCCCTGTTGTTGGTGCACTGGAAGTCTAACTAGAATGAATAGCAATGTCTGATTCCCAATGGTTCCTCCAAAACAATCCCTGCCCCAGAAGCTATATCAGTTTTTGATCCATCAAAATACAGCTTCCAAGGTGTGAGATGAACTGAATAGATAGGATTGTTAAGACAAGTATGAGCTCTAGTTAGCAGGTCTACATTTGCTATGTCCAAAGAGTCCATGTTTTCAATCTCTTCTCCTAGATGATCTGCTAGGAAATCTGCCACAGCTTGTCCGTTGACAGCTTTCTGAGGAACATATCTGAAAGCAAATTCTATTAAAGCCAGAGTCCATTTTCCAATTCTGCCTCTCAACATTGACCTTGTTAGCATGTATTTGATTAAATCTGTCTTGGCAATGATGTAGATGGTGTATGGTAAGATGTAGTGTTTGAGTTTCACAGTAGTGAAGTACAAGGCTAGACAAAGCCTTTCAATTTCAGAATATTTCCTTTCTACTTTTGTCAGAGTTCCGCTCAGATAATAGACTGTCTGCTCCTTTCCTTCCTTGTTATCCTGAACCAACAGACTCCCAATGGACACCTCTGATGCATAAACATACAGTTTGAGTGGTCTGCCTCTCTTTGGCGGGGACAGAACTGGTGAATTTGAAAGGTAATGCTTGATTTCCTCAAAAGCCTGTTGATCCTGCTCCTCCCACTTAAATGTCTATTCTTGCTTCAACCTTAACAAGGAGGAGAAATGTTGGATTTTTCTTGCATAATTGGATATGAATCTCCTCAGAAAATTAATTTTTCCTAGGAGACTTTGCAGTTCTTTCTTGTTTCGGGGTGGTAGAGCTTCTATGATGGATTTTGCTTTATTTTTGTCAACTTCTATGCCCCTTTGGTGGACTAAGAAACCTAAGAAATTCCCTGCTTGAACTCCAAAAACACATTTTTCGGGATTCATCTTCAACTTATGTTGTCTCATTCTTAGGAATGCCTTTCTTAGATTTGATACATGATCTTCCTTCTCTGGGGATTTAACACCACATCATCTATGTATACTTCCAGAGAATGTCCTATCATATCATGGAAAACAGAATTCATTGCTCTTTGGTAAGTAGCTCCTGCATTTCTTAAGCCAAAAGGCATTACAGTATACTCAAAAGCACCTATATGTCCTGGGCACATGAAAGCTGTTTTGTGGATATCTTATTCTGCCACCATAATCTGGTTGTACCCTGCATTGCCATCCATGAAAGATAGCATCTGGTTATGAGCAACTCCATCTACTAGCATATCTGCCATTTTATAGGATATTCATCCTTGGGAGATGCTTTATTTAGATTCTTGTAGTCCACATAGATTCTAACTACCCCTGTTTTTCTTTTCAAAACTGGTACAATATTGGCTAGCCAATCAGCATAAATGGCTGGTCTGATGAATCCTGCTTTGAGCAATCTTTCTATTTCTTCCTTGACCTTCAGTTCTGTATCCACAGACATCCTTCTTCTGGCATGTTTGACTGGAAGGTAACCTTCTTTAATTGGCAGCTTGTGTTCCACTAGCTTTCTGTCTAATCCAGGCATTTCATGGTAATGCCAAGCAAAACAGTCTCTAAAATCATGCAAAAGTGCAATGATCTCACTCTTGAGTGGTTCTTCCAATAATGCATTAATGAAAGTGGGTCTTGGATCCTCTTCCATCCCTAAGTTTATTTCTTGCAGTGGATCTTCTACTTCTGGTAGAGAATCATCTAGTGCTGTTGGTGCAAAATCTAGTACTTCCTCCTGCAAACTCTCTTCCTGTTCTTCAGTGCTCTCACGGGTGAATTCTGCCATATTGATGGTTGGATCCTGCATAAAGAGCTTCCTTTCTTCCCAATATACCAACAATCTTTTGTAATAGATCGGATTGTTGCAGCTCGATCCTTCTCTTGTTGATTAGGACTAAACATCAGAGTTCTAGAGGTTTAGAACAAAAGGTTTATTCCAGTCCTCTAGAGAACTGGCTAAACCATCTTCAATGACACCATGGGGGCGGCCGTTCTGGTTGACTCCAAGGAAGGTGAAAGGCCCAAGGTCATCATGGTAATACCTTGCCTCAAAACACATGGCAGAGGGCAGAAATGGTTATGGGTCGGCCTCTACTATCTCCATATAACCTTCTTCATTCCAAAGGGCTATTGTTGATGCAGGGTGGAGGGAACACATAAGCTTTGGTGAATCCAGTCCCTGCCAAGCAATGCATTGTAAGTGGTAGAAGTGGTGTCCACCACAAAGAATGCAATCTTTAACTCTTTGGTTCCAACTATGACATCCACATCCAGGATTCCATGAGTCTTAGTGATGACCCAGCAAAATTGGTAACAGTCAAGCGTGTTGGAATTAAATCCTTCTCTGTTCTGCCCATCTTACTTAGCAATCTGTGAGGTAGAAGATTAATGGCTGTACCTCCATCTACCATGACCTTGGGAATAGGAATACCCCTAAAATTTGCTGTTATGAACAGAGGTCTGAGGTGATTGGCCATCTCTTTGGTTGGCTTGGAGAAGCAAAGCTGTTCCGTAGCCAGTTTCATGGTTGTTCCACTTGTCTTGGCAGTAGGTGTTTGCTGTTCTGGTGCCTCTTCTACTTCTGCCAATCTGCACTCAAAGCTTTCTTGGGAGACAACATCTCCTTTCAGAGTGTTTTCTTGCCCTTCTGTTGCCCTGAATTCTTCTGGCAAGATGAAGACCATGTTGATGCCCAGATCACCCTGTAACATGTTTTCCAATTCTGCGCCAAAAGCCTCAGTTTCTTCATCCAGTTCTACATCATACTCCATTTGCTCCTCTCCATATTCTTCTGTCCAGTCTTCCTGTTCTCCTGTTTCGAGGAGTCCATTTTGGTCATCTGCAGATGGTTCATAGTCTAGCTGCTCCTCTTCATACTCTTCAGTCTAGTCTTCTTGTCCTTTAATTGGAATAGGTTCGGATGGTTCAAGCTGATTGACTGAGGATGAGGCAGGATGGATAGAAGATATGTCTGGAGATTCTGTTTGTAGCATTTTTTGTGGCTGGCTGGTTGTTCGTTCCGTCTGGGGAAGTACTTCCGGATTCTTCCCTTTTCTGGCAGAGCTGGTCTCTGAAGGTACCTATGTATCACCCTGGTTTTTGAGAAAAGTGCAGTACTGCCTTTGAACCCTCCTCTTTTGAGTTCTGGTTAATTCCAGAGTTGGTCTACCACTTTTCCCCACAGAATACCATCTGCCTTCTATGATAGTTGCCAAGGGCTTTTCATTCCTGGGCATCTTAATTGGTATTTCATTCTTGGGCTACTCTATCTTTCTTCTGCTATATTGAGCAGGCCTAAGATAGTCATTCTGCCTAGCTTTGTCTCGGAATGAGGTTCCAATCCTGTCAAAAACACTAGGTGTGGGCTGATTCTGCCTGTCCAAAACCACTTCTAGCTCAGTTTCGCACTTGCACTTGCTATAGAGCACCACCCCAACCGAGATAGTTGCTTTTGGCCTTTGACTAGTCTCCATTATAACTCTTCTTTCTCTGCTGGGACTAGCTTCTATCGTTGGTTTGCTTTTCTTCTATTCTGGCCAATTTAAGTTGACCATGTTAACTTGTAGTTGGGGAAAAGGATATGTTGTAACTGATGGAGGTTTCTCCGCCAGTTTCAACCTTCCTGCTGTTATTCATTCCTGTATAACATCCTTGAAAACAACACAACTATTGGTGGAATGGTTCCAAGAGTTGTGCCACCTGCAATATTGCCTGCCTTGAGTACTTCTGGCTTGGGCAACCTGTGGGGTGTCTCTATTGCTTTCTGCAACAGCATCTCATCAAACAAGACGTCCACCTTGGTCAGATCAAAGCAATAGACCTTGTTCTGCGTTGGCGTGTTTGGAACAAACCCTCCTATGAATGGCGGTGGCTTCTGATCTTTTGGTGGCTTTGTAAGAGCTTTGCAGCTGATGGGATGTTTTAATTTTGCCATCTTTGCTACTGCAATTTCTCTTTCCTCCGAGCCTTCTGTGTCTTCTTCTGATTCTACCTCAACTAGATGGACCGAAGAAGAAGGAGTCTTGTAGTACGTGCCTTTGGAAGGGTTCCTCTTCTGTTGTTCTTCCTTAAGCAGCTCCTCATATTTAGATGCTTTATCTGCTAGTTCTGCTAGATCTCCAAACAACATCCCATCAAATCTTTTTCTCAGAGAGATTTTGAGGGCGGCTTAAGCCATCTAAATGAAGTGTCCTTCTTCCATAAGGATTGTCACTTCATTTTGAGCTTTCTGAATATGGTTATAAAGTCCTAAGCAGGTTCATCCTCATTCTGTTTGAGGGCAGCAAGATCACTGATGGTGACTTTTGGCTGAATCCTGAAATAGTAGTCATGGAAGATGTTTTCCATCTTCTCCCAAGTTTGAACAGAATTGGCTGATAGATTGGTGTACCAAGTGAAGGCTTGTCCAGAGAGAGAATTTCCAAAAAGCCTTAGCTTTTAGTAGAGGATTATTTTCTATAGCTATGCACTGGACAGAAAACCTGCCTATATGCTCAACTGATGAAGCATAGGGGTCCTCTCCATTGAACAAAGTGAAGTTTGGGACCTTGAAACCTGGTGATAGAGGTATCTGATCAATGTAAGTCGGATATGGCTTTCTATAGGTGGGTCTTTCTCCTCTTCTGGCTTCATGCTCCATCATCTCCTTGATCATTCTTTGTAGTGCCCCATGTCATTTAAAGCATTGACAGGGTGCAGATTTCGTCACTGTTCTGGCTGGATCTGGTCAATCCTGTGCTCCATCTTGTATGGCCTAGGCAGAGCTTCCTCCCTGTGCTCTTCCTCTTCTTCAAAGTCCGGATGATTCCTCCAGTTTGCCCCCAGTCTGTTCCTATCATTGTTGGCAAAAAGGTTGATTCCCCCTCTACCTCTTCTACCTCTTGCTGGTGGAGGGAATGGAGTAGGATCCATCCTTCTGGGTCTGTAAGGCAAAATAGCTGGTGCGTCAGGCAGCAGTGTCAGGGGCTGATCACGCAGGGCTAAGGGTTGTGGAATAAGTGGAGGTTCTGGCTGATTTTGAGGAACTTGAACTGGTGCAGGGCCTGCTGGCCGAACTAGCCCCTCCTGCTCTTGAATGGGAACGGCTCCTCCCTTATGTCCAGCTTGGATTTTTCCATGCCCTGGTATCCCAGCTATCTATGCAATGAGAGGATTCTCCTGATATGGCCATGCCAATACTGGTGGAGGGTCATAAGGGAGGTCTAGTTGCTGGACCACAACATCTGGGTTTGGAATTCTGGCCATAGCAACTTCACGATCCTTCTTGAACTGCCTGCTAACTTGCCATTGCATCATGGCTGTCATGTTATTCAGAGTGTCCTAGCTCCTTTGTGCCATAGCCTCCTGTCGGAGCACGGCTTCCTGTATTTGATTTAACCTCCTGGAGTCAGCCTCGGAGAGTCTACTTCCTATACTGCCTTGGGCTAAATGCTTAGCATCGCTCTCTTCTGTCTCCAGTCCTTCTGGGAGGGCTACTTGATCTCTTTCCATTGCGTAGTGTGGGTTCTGGCTAGAACTTCCAATATTCATATACTTTAGAAAAAAAATTTAGGAGTATGTATACTAAGAAGTCCCACTGGGAGTGCCAAATTGTTCACCCATTTTGTGTTTGTTCCTGTGATAGAAGGGTAAAGTTCCCCATTACCTTGAAATCCATTGACTGGCCAACAAGTCAACTTTCTTTGGTATGCGAGCGTGCCACTGCTAGCAATAACAATTCTAGCAGATTTCTTGAAAATAGATGACTTGCGCCCCAAGTTACTAATTTCTAAACAAACGATTGTGAATTTGGGTGAGGAATATCTCCCAAATAAATTCTTTTCCTGCCTCAGACTAGTGAGGACTTCACAATTTATCTTAGTATAGAGTTGGTAGTTCTGGCCAGAATAAATCGTAATAAAAGTGAATTGTTTTTAGATAGAACTGCCTTTTATAAGACTTGGAAGGGAGAAATTAATTCTAGGAAGACAAAAAGAAGGTTGGAACTCTATTTCTGCCTGGCTAGAAATCTCTGATCTTGGCTGGACTGAATATGTCTGTGTTGGACTGGACTGTTAACAACTTCAACTTGCTCAGCTTCACCTGTAAATCGATACCAAAGTTCAATTTTGGCAGAGCTTTAATCTACTTCAAGCTTTGGGAGGCTTTTGAGCGGGTAGAACTGCAACTTCTTCAATCTGAAGGGGCAGAAGTGGCTGGTCTTGAGGACTTAATGAGCTGGAACTGCACTGTAAAATTTGTTGAGGTTTTCATATTTGTGAAAACTCAAACTCTGCTTGTTTTGGCTTTTGCTTAACCAAATTTGTAATGAGAGAAATCTCGTTTTGAATGACTTATTTCTCTAAGTCTGAACTTGGAAGTTCTAACCTAAAGCTGATTTCTCTTGTGGCTCAAGTGAGCTTTTGATTGATTTTTTGGTTGTTTGTTTGATTGATGAATTGAGTGTGTTCTTTGCTCTGTTCACCCTCTCCTATATTTATAAGAAGTGCTTTCTGGAGTAGGATAATTCTTTTAATAATGGGCGGCAAAATTTCTCAAAATATCTTTCATTTTTTAAATGCAAGAAAAGAGGGGTTTTATCAATTCTGGTAAATAAGCTCTCAGTAGTCAATTCTCACGGCTATCACTTCCCTGTTTTTCTTGAAAGAAAACCTAATTCCTTTTTCCAATTTTAACTGCCCCTCGTGAGAGCTCAAGCTGTGATGGTTAGTTTGATCTTCCAGTTGAACAACTCCCTGTTTTCCTGCTTATCTCTTAGATGCAGTCTGCTTATCTCTTGAAAATAGTGCCTTTCTTAGGAGCAGAAAATATCTCTAAATATATATATAAAAAGGGATTTTTGATCTTCTGGTGGCAGAGTTTCAGAGAAGTCTCTTCCTAGTTGTCTGCTTTTATCAACTCTTTATCAATTTAGTTGAAATTGTTGACTTTTCAAAGTTTATTTCAGATTAGTCACATGGGCCTCTTCAGAAAAGAACTGTCGATTTGTCCCTGGGCCTTTTGAGAGAAATGGTAGATTTTGTAGACTGGGCCCAATCTGATTTATAATCGCCATTTGACTTGGCATTTTTTTACTTTTCTACTATTTTCTGAAAAAGACATGGGTTGGGCTTGCTCCTGTTCTGATATTTGAAGCCCATTTTTCTATTCCTTTTGTTTCGTGGGCTTTTGAGAAGTGGGTCAGCGTGTATTTGCTTTGGCCCAAACAGTATTCTTCGTTTCATTACATTTCACCTTCAAGCTTTATCTCCACCCACTCCACATCATTTGGTTGCTCACATAAAGCCTTGACTCTGAGGTAGTGAAAGAACCTAGGCTGTGAGAAGGTTCCTTGCTCGGCCGAACAATCGTTTGATTAAAGTTAGATTTCGGACGCATCATCTACTTACATTCCATTCAAGCTTAATTTGTGGCTTGGTGGTGGCACGCCCCGTACTCAATTAAAGAAAAACCAAAAACTCCTTCAATCGGCCTATCCGGCCGAAAAGAGGGAAACACAAATATAATTCTACTCCCAATATTCAGTAGTACTTTTCATATTCTAATTATTTTATTTTTATAACACAACTTATTTTCTAAGCACCTCAAAAAATATCAACATCTCACACAAGACTACCTCACATTTAAAAAGGAATTTTTTTTGGCATGGGCTGTAGCCCATGCAGCCCATTAGCTGCATTCATCCCTGCTAATACTCGTACCCATACCAGGAGGGGTCATTATATAATTTTGTTTACCAATGGAGTCAGGAATGTCATATTTGAAAGCTAACTTTGAATCAAAACTTATAGGGTTCTGACAAAAAAAGAAAAAAAAATAGGGTTTAGGGTTTTATGTTATTTAACTTCTGCATACCGCCATTTGAAGAGGTGAAGAACAAAAGAAGTCCAGATTAACGAAAAGAAGGATTCGACTCACCTGGGTATGTTTGCACCACTCTTTTGCTTGTCCTCATACTCGATATTTGATAAGACATTAAATCTTCTTCTATCTATTCTGAAGTTTTTTTAGGGTTTATTCTTTCATAATCAGACCCATTTAGCGACTTCCAAACCAAAACTACCATTTTGGTGGCTCCCCGAAATGTTGCTCCTGATAAGCTTTAGGCTAAGCTCTGTTCTCATAGTGTAGAATGATTTTGCTTAAAGTTGTACCTTTTGGGTTTTGATTGGACAGCCTTTTCCCTTTCTTTCTTCGAGATGTTTCTGATGTTGCCATGATAAAAATTTTGTTTTTGCATCGATTTTGCAATTGTTTCATAATTAGTTTCACATCTACATTATTAATGCTTGATTAATGATGGAATTCGTGGTGCTTTGGATTATTTAACCTGGTGACGTCGAATGGGAACGGATTTGGAGTTCGGTAATTTCTGTGGTACAAAATTGGAAGTGGCAGTACGATATTACGGATCACAATTTGTGTATTATATTAATTCAGAACAATGTAATATTGTATTGGAACGACGTACTGTATTAATTCAAAATGATGTATTAGTACAATTAACAAAAATTCATTTATTAATATATCATATATTGCACATATATTAATATATCATGTATTAATGTATCATGTATTAATGTATCATATATCAACGTATAACTTCACAACAATTCATATATTAAAGTATCATATCTTGCACTTATGTAATGCGTTAATGATTAGATGGTATCATTATATCAGAACATGTACCATATATATATGAATGGACTAGTGGACAATGATTAGATGAATCATCCTACACATCTAATCATTCTATCGGAACACCTCTGTTCGATGGGGAACTCCTTTGTTTTCAGAAGCAGATGCTACTGCAGCTGTCTTTTTTAAATCTCCTGGATAACGACATAGTTTTAGCCTAGGCAATTTTTTAAAATTACCTGGCCAAAATGATACCATTTTGAGCCAAGTCATTTATAGAGAAAAAAAGGGTTTTCTTCAGCTTTTCCCCCCCAACCTCCCCAATCCCCACCTGCCGTAGTGCCGCCGAGATGTTGCCGCTTCCGTCGGAGTTATATTTTAATTTAATTACTTGTATGATGTATGAAATCAAATTTATAATTACATGTTGGATTAAATTTATGGTATACATGTATTAGTTTGATTTATTGGATGAAGTTTTGTTGATTAGGTGGTTATATGGGTCTTTGTTTTGGTTAGTCGGCATAAATTTGGTTTGAAATTTTAAAGATAATGCTAGGTTTACAAAAGGTAAACCTAGCATTTTCCTTTTACAAATTGAAAGAAGTCAAAAGCATAAATAGAGAGGAGAGAACATTTAGACTAGGACCCCACTGCGTCCGTGTTGGTGCCCCATCAGTTGCAGCATTACTTGTAAAGATAAAGGTAACTAAATAAAATAAAACTCTAGTCGATATCCGTTAGCATGCAGGCACGTGCATGTTCTGAGATTGTGTGTGAAAAGAGAAGTAAAGCTAGAGGGGTGGGTTTCATTAACCACCAAGAGGGTTCTTGTTTAAAATACCACCAATAGAATATGATAAACAAGTAACATACAAAGCAAGGAGATGAGCTTGCAATGCTAGTACACCGTCTTATCTCAAACTAGAAAAGTAGCCTTCCACTATATAATGTTGGCTTAAAGGCAGTACATGAATATAGTAATTAAAAGGCGAAATATGCTATTCAAATCACTGGACCAAAAGGCAAACATGGGATCTAGTTGGTACATTTCTGCTTGCCACCAAGCTCTCTTGGGACCCTTCTCTCTTTATGTCAATTTATATGTATACTTCCACAAATAAATATATATATATAGTCTTCTTCAACTTTACCAATATGTATGTACATGTTTACTTTCTGATTTATACTTCTGTAGCTCTCTCTCTCTCTCTCAGCTTAGCTTTCTCTATGGAGAAAAGCAGATTCTCTTGATGTCAGAGAGAGAGAGAGAGAGAGAGAGAGAGTTAAAAAGTTGTTTTTCTTTCGGTAAATTATAATAAATTAACAAGTACCTAATTTTAGATTCTTTAGGGTTTGGACTAGAACTATAATTCATAAGCATGACGATTAAGTGACATCCAAGCCTAATCATCATTACATGTATTATTTCTGAAGTAAATTTATCAGAAATGTCAAATCGGTCGGCTGATACATAATTTTGATATAAACAAAAGAGGATCAATCACAAACCAATATGATAAACCATAAATTTATTTTGGTCAACATCGGTTTACTAATTATTCAAATACGAAAAGGGTTTGCTTCTTTGTGTACAAACGAACCAACAAATACAATGGAAATGAAACGAATTATATGCTTCAATACCCAGCAAATGCATAACAGAGAGAGAATCCCACTCACACTCGGCACTCAGGGATATGGAAGAAGGAAGCAAGCAATATCCAAAAGGAAATTTACACCATCCAATATGGAACTCAAAAAGAGGACAAGAACAACAAAATAAAACCAACAAAGAAACGAACACAAACTCCCAAGCACAAAGCATAAGAAAAGTAGGACATTATGAAGATGGAAAAGAAAAAGAAAAGGCATATGCATGATATAGT